CACCCCACCCCCTACCCTACAAGAGCACAACCTATCCCCTTTGCTTCATCTTCCCCGAAGTTCCAAAAGTTTTTTATGAAGCTTTAAACAACAACAAACCTCCTTTGACTCATCCATCCGACTTATTATGTATGGTCTCTTTGTGGGTTACAGCAAGGCATCAAAGATTGCTTCAAACATTTGTACTTTGTGCATTAATACTTGTACATTTATCATCTTCTCTCTCATTAATCCCTAAAACAAGACGAACCGTTCAACATCTCCCTCTCTCTCCCCCTCTTTCTCTCCCCCTCTTTCTCTCTCTGTAACTAAGTGAAGGTTTTTTACTCACTGTTCAAAATATCCCTCACCCTTCTTTCTCTCACTAAAAATCAATGCTTTTTTGTAGAGAGAGAAACTTGAAGCAAACAAAAATGGTGGTCTAGTAGTGACTGAGAGCGACTGTCTTTTGAAAATTTATTTTCGTTTCTTTTCTTTTTTGTTTACTGCTTTATTATAGACCACCATGGATACAGTTGAAGCTACGAAAATGGTGATGTCAAGGATCCAAAAATTAGATCCAGAAAATGCTTCGAAAATCATGGGATATATACTCATTCAAGACCAGGGAGATAATGAGATGATAAGGTTGGCTTTTGGCCCTGAAAATCTTCTTCTTTCTGTTATAAAACAAGCCAAATCTTTCTTGGACATTTCGTCGAACACTTCTTCTGCACCTTCTTCTACCACTCCTTCACTGTTTATCCATCGAAATTCCCCTCAAATCGTCATTCCGAATAATGGGTTTCATCACATGAACCCTCCTTCTCCTAGTTCGCCTTGGTCGTTATCTGGGTCTTTTCCCGATCATCATCTTCACCGTGGTAGCCCTCGTCCGGTTTCTTACGCCGCCGTGGTTAACGGTGGTGGTTCGTCTGCTTCTTCGTTTTACAACAATTTTAACGATCCCACCGACGAGTATAGTACTAACAACGGACTACAAGTTGTTTCCGATCAGCTTTCGTTCTTTGACGAATCTAAAAATGTCGACTTCATCGACCCAATGGTGAGCCCCGGTGGTCGGAGCGACTCGGTTCTTTTCCCTTACCCTAACGATACTTCAAATTGGCCTATGGTATCTGGTAACTGTGGAGACGCTCATCACCACCATTTACACCGGCGGAGTTGCTCCGTTAACGACGTTTTTCTCGGCGGTGGTGGTGGTGGAAATGATGATATGGGTGGTGGTGGTGGGTTTGGTGGCTGGAGACCTTGCATGTATTTCGCTCGAGGGTTTTGTAAAAACGGCACTTCTTGCAAGTTCGTTCATGGCGGTTTTGGAGACGAAATCGGGTTGAATCCATCTTCACCCACTGCCGTCGCCGGTTCTCCCACCGGAAAGATTGATTCTTTTGACGATTTGCTTAGAATTAAAGCCATTCAACAACAACAGCAACGAATTGCCGCCATGGCTGGAGGTGGAGTTCCTCCTTTTCCTTTCAACAGGTGCATGAACTTTCTCAATGAGAATCCTAGGTAAAGTTATCTAATCATTATTTATGTATAAATTACACTTTATTCGTTATTCTTCAACTTATCAACCAAAAAAGCCTCCATTTTTATCGATTTTGTATCTTAGATTTGTTTGGTATGATGAAAAAGAAGAACATCATCATTATCCTGTAATTATATGTTATTATTACTTCTTTAAAAGCTGCTTTTCCTGGTTTTCATGGCGGATTTTACAGAAGAAAAAGAAATGCAAACAAAAGAATCTTTTCTTGTGTTCTATAATTAGTGTTTGATTTTGGATTCATGCTGTTTTTTTAGATCAGCAGCTGCATTGATGATGGGAGACGAATTTCATAAGTTCAGTCGTTGTCGGCCTGATCGGAACGATTTTGCAGCGATGGGGTTGGGGAATTCGAATTCGAGTTCCCGACAAATTTACTTGACGTTTCCAGCTGATAGTACTTTTAAAGAAGAAGATGTTTCGAATTACTTCAGGTAATTGTTTGAAATGTGTGAATGCATCTTCATTTTGTAATGTAAAGATTATTTCTTTCGGAGAATTAAAGATGTCTTGAATGTTTGGTAGCATGTTTGGACCGGTTCAAGATGTTCGGATTCCGTATCAGCAGAAACGAATGTTCGGGTTTGTTACATTTATGCTCCCCGAGACCGTGAAGGCGATTTTGGCCAAAGGGAATCCACATTTTGTATGCGATTCGCGGGTGCTTGTTAAGCCGTACAAGGAGAAGGGAAAAATCCCAGACAAGTACGGTTACTAGTTTATTTTTTGAGCTTATTGAAAAAGTTCTCTTTGGTCAAGCATATGGATAACTACTTAAAGTAGGGTTTCAATTTTCAAATGGGTTCAGGTTTCTTTTTCTTTCCAATTATGCCTTTTAGAAATTTTAAACTGTCATTTTACGTTGTCATCTACGTTATCTGCCAGATTTTACCAAAAATGATTGGTTTATCAGCTATCTTATCAACCAACAATTTGCCAAACATGGCCTTTATGGTATGATGTATATATTCATAACTCTCGAGTCACATTGTATGTAGGAAGCATCAGCAACAAATGGAAAGAGGGGATTTTTCGGGTTGTTTGAGTCCAACTGCGCTTGAATCTGCCGAGCCATTTGATCACATACCGTTTGGTGAGCGAAAAACATATACATTTTATTCTTTAATTATCGCGTTATATCCAAGAAAGTATGCGTTTGATCTCTGATTACCGTCTTTCTGAACAGGCGCCAGAATGTTTAATCAGGAGATGATTTTGAGAAGAAAATTAGAGGAGCGGGCCGAATTACAGCAGGCGATGGAATTCCAGGATCGAAGGTTGATGAACCTGCAGCTGTCGGATCTCAAAAATCATCATTTCCACCCGAATTTATCCGTTTCTTCACCAACTCAATCTTGTGCTCAGATAAATCAAAATCTCCTGTTTTCATCTGATGGCAACAATGAAGAACTTGTTTCTGGAGGTAAATTCTCCATCTCGTCTTTTGTATTCCGCTACAAGAAAATCGGCTTTATAGGAGACATTAAATATGTCAAAATGTGCTAATAGACTGCATTATAAGACTTAAGTTTATATGATCCAATTGCAACCCAATTCCAATGCTACAATAAGTTGATACCACGCTTAACAAGTTTTTTAGGACACTTTTGAAATAAAGCGCCCTTTTAGTCTTTTTAAATGATATAATTCGAACAAAACTGTCTTGTAAAAAACCCAACAAGAAAGTGCCTTAAACAACTTGTTAGGACGTACAAAAGCGTCTATTAGGATATTTAGACATATTTTTATTAAAGTATTCCCGACTCTTATTACTAATAAGAATCGATGTTACTTGTTGTATAGCAAAAATTAGCACCCACGATAGCATGAATTCTCTGAGTGACGAGTCTGATCCCAACGTGCCACCAGAAGTGAAAGTCAACGATGGGAATAGCGGCAGCAACGGAACTGGGAAGGAAGAGATTTCCGATCAGAACGAAACTGATAAGCATGAAAGGTTTGAATTTTTAGTCAATCATATTCATGCAAATTTGGTCGAATCTACGTACATCTTACCCCCAAACCCCACCTCCAGATGGGATGTACCGTGCTTATTTGATTTTGTTATAATTATCTTTCATTTCTTTTTAATGTTTTTGTGTGGTGGTATAACTGTCACTCTTGTTCAAATAGCAGTTTAGAGCACATCCTTCCTGATAACTTGTTTGCTTCACCTAAAAAGTCGGCTGCCATCGACAACCAGACTATCTTTTCAACCGATATGCCGGAAACCGATGACAGTGCTGCAACGGCTTCGTCTTTGTCTGCCGCTAACGATATCCAGGTGCTACCCACCACTTCAACCCCACTTGAAATGCTGGCTTCTCTCAATTCATGTTACTTCCAAATGCCAAGGTAAAAACAACACAACCTTCAAAGAAGAAAACTGCTTGAAGTTTAACTTTCGATCAATCTTCGATCTTTCTAACCGATTCTTTAACAAGAATACGAGTCGTGCCAAATTGGGATTTGTTAATATTTATCAGGTCTTTTTTTGTGGGCAAGAAGCCATTAAAATGTAGGTGATTTTAGGTTGTGCAACGCTGACCATGGAGCATTTTTACTTTGCTTGGTAAGACTATCTCGACCTTTTCTTTCCAAGTGACGAACAAACTTATAATACACCCATGTTTCTAAGGCTGCATTCGGTACATCGGACAAAACAATATAAAAACTTGTTGATTTTATGTTTGACACGGCATTAAACTGCCGTAGAACAAGATCCGAGTGGGGCAAAAAAATGCATTTTTCTGTCCCACCAAAATGGTTAGAACAAAAACCAGCCGAGACAGGACATGATTAGTAAATTACTAAACTATCCATGTCAAAATAGTGTTGCGTTTTATGTTTGACACGACATTAGACCGCCACAAAACAAGATCCAAGGGAGACAAAATGCTTTTTTTTTGTTCCACCAAAATGGTTGGAACAAAAACCAGCGGAGATAGGGCATGATTAATAAATTACAAAACTGCCCATGTCAAATTACAACCTTCAAACCTTTCAAGTTTCTTTCACACACCTATTGCAACTTTTTTTTTTGATTAACCTGGATATCCAACCCGTTATACGAGCTAACAAATCCCAGGACGACCACCTGCTTTGCAGATAGCCCGGAGTCACCTCATTTGAACCTCCGTGGCCACAAGGGGATTTTTATTCCTCATTGGATTTGAACCTGGGACCTCCTGATACTTTTGACCTTTGGAGCCAAGCTCAAACCAATCAAGCACCACCATTTGGTTTAACCTATTGCAACTTTGATGCCTCCTTAAAACCTACATTAGGTGTTAAACTCCAATTATAATGAATCATGTTGGTACCAAAATGGGATTTGATTAGCTGAATGATGGTTTAGTCTTTTATGGTTTGATTTTCTTTTTTGGTGCAGAAAAATGGAAGAGTAGGAAAGATGCTGTGGCTCAAAACACCATCAACAGCAACAGCAACAGCAACAACAAAAAGCCAAAAAAGAAAAAGGAAAAGATGTGTTCAAGATTATTGTCATCTTCAATACCTCCCCTCCCTCCCCATACTACTTACAAACTATACATAATATGCAGAAATACATAAAAAGGAACAAGGATAGATGAACTGATTTTATGGGAGTAGGGTCTCCTTGTTTGTTAACTTTTGTACCCTTTCCCTTACCTTCAACTGTGTGCTGGACCCACCAAAAAACACTCATTCAACCATGCATATAACAAACCAAAAGAAAAAGGGTAGTGGTTAGCAACTTTTTTTCTTCATTTCACTTGAACCATTCTATGGCCAAATCTATTGTATGGTACAAGTTTTAATCCTTAAGATACAACTACAACACCCATCTCTCTCTCTCTCTCTCTCTCTATATATATATATATACTGGAATTCAACCTTTTTAGTGCTCTTTTGGGTTTGTGAATGGCGATGCATGTCTGTGTTTATACAGATGGGTAGATTCAGTTGTGAAGACTACTAAAAAGATAAGAGATTCAAAAGGGTAAAAAAATTTGAGTAAAGCTGTTCTTTTTTCTGTCAATCTTTTAGGTCTTTTTACCATTATACTTTGTATTATCTGATATCTTTGGTCTAACTAGTTTATAGAAAAGAGGGTTTTTGGTCTGTTTTTGTATGGGATATACTGGGTTAGTGATATTATAGCTTCTTGAAATGGGATATACTGAGTTGGTATGGTGGTTTTTAATAAAGTAGGTTGGGTGTAAGGAATTTGATTTGAAGGGTAGTTTTGGGGTGTGGTTTCTTGGAGGGTGGAAGAGGTCCACAATGTCACATGGGGGGCTGACAACCCATTTCAATGGTATCTTCAGAGTACCACACACTGCTTTCACTTTCAATCTTTCCTGGACTCATTCACATATTATTGTTGTGTGTTTGGCCTTTTGTTTTGATAGGCTTTAGTGGTTTTCTGTTTTGGCATGTTTTCTCAATTATGGCTTTGATGGTACATGTCCTTTGAATAAATACCACACTTGTACATCGTGCAATCAAACTTGTACCTTTTAGATTTAGTCAAACCTACCTTGACCCAATTAGAGGATGGGTTTTCCATGCCATTGTTGACCAAAGATGCATATGGTACAATCCTCTACTCTATAAGCAGATGCTAGGTCTATATACATCATATTGGATATCCCACCTCTTAATACTATCTCCGTTTATTGACCCATCCATGGTTGGGGTGTACAATTGAAGATGCATATGGTACAATACTCTAATGCATGACCTTGAGAGTAGAATAGTATCTTGAGAGGTCAAGATCCAAGACCTAATTGGTTTTGTTTGGTTTTTGGCCATTGACCATGGTTGAGTTACAAGTGAAAGATGCATATGGTACAACATTCTAATGCATAGGGCTTAGGAATTGGGGAGATTGGATCTTGTTGTCCCTTTCATGATTGTGTTGGTTTTTTTTTTTTTTTTAATATTTGATTGATGGGTTAATCCATGAATTATAGCACCCAAACATAAAGTTAAGAGAATATTTAAATAAAATCTAGGCATGTGGTTCCATCAATGCTTTTTTCTTTTGTTCCTTGCTTTTTACTAATAAAATCTAGTCATCTTGTTACATCAAACCTCTATTATTACTTCAACTTTTTATGCATTCCAACATTTTTTTTACCTCTTTTATTTTAATTTTAAAAGCTAAACTTTTATTTGCTGAACTGCATCTGGGTAAAAAGTTGATTACCTACGACGTCAACCGATCCCACATGGAATCTGTCTCCAATAACATCAATGTGAGGGACATTTTTTTGGTTTACTCAACAGTTGGACTTGTCTTGTATTTGAACAAAGTTGTCTTGCCTCTTTATTAACTGAACTACATGAAAGAGGATTTACTAAAATGTATTATAAATATTATTTTAGAGTCTTGTTTATTTCTGGTAAGAAAATAAAAGGAATATTAATGGTATATGGTTGTCATGTAGATGTGAGTTATTATGCAACTATTTACATTTGTACAACCAATACAATCCAATTTCAATCGTCTATTTAATTTGATGAATATGTGATTTCATAAAAGTTTTTATTGTTTCCTAATATAAAGTATTGATTATAATTAATAAACTTTAGTTATCTTTCATAAATATTTAAATCATAATAAATGAACTATCATTATTTCTATAAGTTTCTCAATTAATTGGATTGCATTGGTTGTACAAATGAACATTGTTGCATTTGAAATATACCCTATATAAGCATACATCTTATTATTCTTAAATCTTAATGGATGGTTAATTTAATTGATTAAGGGGTTGTTTGTTTACCTCTTAATAGTTCCATTAAGAGGCATCTCTGAATCATTAAGAGTTGAATCTTGTTTGGCAAAAAAAAGTATGTCTCTTAATGGTTCTAAAACCCTCTGAATGATTTTATATCATGGGTCTCCTTAACCATTCAACACTCTAATTTTATTGTAAACAATTACAAAACAATTATATTTCATTTTGCACTATATCATGAGAGTCTCTTAATCATTCCGATCACTTAATTATTTTGTAACCAAATTATTCAGCAACTGTCATACAATCCATAAACTATATTAAAGTGTTTGATTGTAACTTAGTAAATAAAACGGCTATCGTAATACATTAAGCTATGATTTTTTTTCCAAATTTACCATTACTTTACAGGCTTTAATCATGCATCTCATTAAAAAAACTAAATAATTTAACAGTAAATACATAAATTAAAAATTATAATCAAATGATGATAAGAATGAAATATATTTGAAATTATTAATTTTCATTTGACAATAGTAACTTTTGCAAAAAAATCAAATAACAATTTATTTTAATTAATCCAAATAAATCAAACATTAAAAATTAAAAGGGTACTTACATAATGTAGCAAGATAAATCTTGATTTTAATGTTTAGTTATATTCTTTGTCTTTATCGATATAATACAATTTTATGTGGTTTTGAGAAAGTGATAATGTTTTTATTTTTAAATGAAATATTAATTTAAAGATAATACAAAAGTTTGAAAAAAACATAAAATCGATATTAGTATCAAATTAACTATTTAATAGTTTTCGTTTTTTTGGTGTAATTTCTTTAATTCATTTTTTTATTATAATTTAATTTGGATTTAATAACAAAGTAAGGTTTTTGGTTTAATAATATATTTTTTTAATAAAGATAATAATTAAACATTATGTTAGAACTCAATGATTATCTTAATTATATTTTAGATTTTCTATATTTAGAATAAATGTTTATCTTGTATTTGATTATGTTTATCTGCAGTTAGTCACACAAATTTAAAAATAGAACTTTAATAAGTTGTACTTACGCAAAATTATTTGTAATCTTGAATTTTAAGTAATATATATCAATAAACAGTACTTCATACATAAAAATAGTTTTTAAGAATTTTTATCAAAAATTTTATAATATAGTACAGATAACTTGATCAATGTAGAGGTTAATAGAGGAAAACAAACAAACATCCGGTTAAACAAGCTTTTTGAGTTCATTAATATATAAAGGCTATCTTTCAAAATTAATTTCACTGTATATTTTTAATTAACTTTTTTAATATTATTTTATATAATTCTATATTGTTATATAATTGATGAGTTTATTTTATCAAACATGACTAGTTTATTATAGTATTTTTAAAATGAAGATTTTGGGGATTTTTACTTCAACATTCTCCAAAATAGAGAAAATACGAGAGATGGTGGTTATGAAAGAGAAATTGTTTTTTTATTTTTTGTACGATTGAGAATATTTGAAGTTAACGTATATTAGAGAAAAATAACATTTTTATAAAAAATAATAAATATTTTAATGATATAATTTATATTGTAAGAAGTTGTTGGAGATAAATATAAGTTGGAGATAAATATAAATTTTCTCCGAATATTTTGAATTTTGATTCTCGATTTTGAAAAATCATTTTGAAGATGCTCTTAAGAATATCTCCAACAAATTCTCCAAAAGTTTTCCAAAAATGGAGAACCAAACTTCAAAATCTCTAAAAAAAAGTTGCATTCAACTCTAAGAGATTCTCAAACAGATTACACCATTAATTATGGAGAAAAATTTATAAAAAACCCATGAACTATTACATTTTGAATGATTAAATCACTGAACTATTTTTTTGAATGAAAAAATAATTAAACTTTATTACTTTGAATGATTAAGTCACTGAACTTTTTTTTGAATGAAAAACCACTAAAAATCTCATTTGAATGACTCTACGCTCTTCAAACCCCTTGCAAACAACGGTATCACTCCTCCTCGCCACTACTTGTCTCTTCATCACTATCGTTCTTCATACCGACTATCACACTGTTAGCCCCTGTCATCAATCTCCTTTTTTGATCCAATTTTAGGGGGTTACACAACACATTGTTAACCCCTAGTCGGCTATCACACTGTTAACCTCTAGTCGGTTACAATTAGGTTTTTTTGGTTTAAGGTAATCAATTTTTAAAAGTTTCAGTGATTTATTTTATTGAAAAAAAATGTTTAGAAACTTAATCATTTAAAATGAGAAAATAATGATTTTATATAAAAAAATAATTAGTTCAATGACTTAATCATTCAAAATAGTGATCCAAAAGTTAAAATCTCCAAAAATAATTAATTCAACTCCAAAATATTCTATATTTGAGATTTTAACATAAATTATATTATTATAATATTCTCTAATTTATCATCCCAATGCACTTTAAAAAAACTTTATATAAAATAATAATAATTTAATCTCATCGATGAAATTGAATAAAAATAAGCATTTCTTTTTTCCGGCATCAAGTTTTAGAGAAATCTCTGAAGTTAAGAGTTTTTTTTCCCATGTTCTCTCTATTTTACACTTTCTTTTATGCTTTCTCCATTTTGAAGAATCTGATAGAGCAAAAAATTACCCAAAATTCTTGTTGGAGCAATATTGAGAACAAAACTTTTATTTTCTGTATTTTAGAGAATCTGTTGAAAATGTTTCTGCACTTTCTTTTATACTTTCTTCATTTTGAAGAATCTGTCAAACCAAAAAATTACCCAAAATTCTCATTTTCTCCATTTAAAAAAATCTATTAAAAACGCTCTAACTAACTAGTTAATTGGCCACAACAACTAACTTCATCAAACAACCTTAGGGCTGTTTGACAATTGTTGAATGATTTGGTACAAAATGATTAAATGATCAGAATGATTAAGAGGCTCTCATGATATAATGCAAAATGAAATATAATTGTTTGGTAATTATGTACACTGAAATTAGGGCTCTTAATGGTTAAGGGAGATACATGATACAAAATCATTCAGAGGGTTTTAGAACTATTAAGAGGCAGACTTTTTTTGCCA